CTACACCTCATTACTAACCACCTCTCATGATTGTAAACTGACCACCCTCAGTGTCTACACCTCATTACTAACCACCTCTCATGATTGTAAACTGACCACCCTCAGTGTCTACACCTCATTACTAACCACATTTCCTGGCTGTTCCTCCCTTCCCCGAGCTTTCGGGCAAGTGGACATTATTCCCGACATATTTCAGAATTTCTTACCTTCTATGTTTTTAGGATTGTCGTAATGAATTTCCATGATAATTACCGAGCCACTGTCGTTCGTTCCCACAGGGTACCCAACGTGTCCAGGATACACAAACGGCTGAAAAAATGAAAGAATGCACTATTCTCATAATGGCTGATAAGTGCACGAAAACGAGGCCGCCCAGTCATCTTGCAAGGCTGCTCATACAAAATAAAGGTGGATAGTGCGAATTCAGGTCAAAAAAAGGTCAATGTTTATACTTTTCTTCTATATGCTTTTATATGTTTTATCGTGAAGTAATGACTGTTGTGTGACCTCGTTTTCGAGCACTTGTCAGCCATTATGAGAACGGTGTATCGTTTTCTTGAATTAAATATTTACTTCTTGAAATGAGGAACATTGAGTTTTCCAAGTATAATACTATCTTTCATTCCCAGAAACTCCTAATAATAGGGACCTTAAGCTGCAGGACGGCAACGACAACGGCAAACATACAATAGCACCAATTGCGCTATTCAATAGATACTCGTTGGAATGTACGAAATACTATGCAACATTGCCGTCTTATGCTGAAAGTAAGACGTGAAAAGGTCCTATTTTTACGTACTAAAGAGAACGGCTACGCGGCCAGAAGCTTATCTTTGCTGATTTTCGTTATAAGTAAAGCGCTCCCAAAAGACGACATTTCACTCTAAAACGGGGATGCTTATTGATTGAGTAAAATACTAGGTAAACATAATAATACAATAGAAGGTTGAAGCGCTTCAATTTCGCCGACGTTGTCGCCCATTGTTGCCGTCCTGCAGCTTAAGGTCCCTAATATAGTCAAAGTGTAACTTACCCCAGCACCAACACCCCAGTCATAAATTACATCCCCTTGTTTACACTTCAGGATCTCTGCGGGCATATTGGCATAGTCGATACAGTTTCCGGTGTAGTTAAGCAGGTGATCAGGAACCTTTCCTTTGCATTCGTTGATGACAAAATGATGAACGAAACCT